CCCACCCCGCCACGCCCCACCCTGTATTAGGGGCGCGCGGTGTGCGAGATGACCTATGCGGTGGACTCGGCCAGGGGGCGCCCCGCCTCGCCCCGCCTCCGCGAAAGTTCACGAGCGACCAGCGCTGCTGCTCAACCCCCCAGCGACCCGGCACTGCTTGGTGCGCGCGGCGAACTTTGTGGACTTGATGATGGACTGGAGGACGCCAAGGTTGTGTGTCTCGTGGACCAAGTTATCCGCACACGGCCCTGCCGCGCTGCCGCTCGGCTGCCGCGCACCGGAGGGGCTAAAGATAGTGCGCGGGGGAGGCCGAGGGGGCTCCGGGCGGGCCGGCGTGCTGAAAGGGTTGGAGGGGCAGGTTAGGGGGATGTAGACCGACTGGAGGGGCTTTCAACCTGTCACGGAGGCAAAGGCTGCCCCCCCCCCCTTTTCCCCTTCCCCCAGCCAGTCCCTCTTCCTGTTCCCTCATAGCCCACTGGACTGCGGCGAGTGGATGTGGTTGGCGACGGCGATGGCGGCATTCTAACGGTGCTAACCGCTCGAAATTCTTTTCTCTGACCTTAACTGGCAATGTCCCAGCATTGGGGGGCTTGTGGAAAAGAAGTGAAACACTTGCAAAAGTCTCCCCCCCACCCCCAGCTCCCGACTTTAAAACAATGACGAGAAGAAAAGGGTCCCCTGGAACCCCGCACGCTGGCAATAAGTCTAAGAGGGAAAAGGGCTGCCCCGGCCAACTTTTTGAGGCGTTTCTGATAGTCGTCCCCGACCGAGACCGAGCAATGAAAACGGAAAGAAAGTGCGAGGAATGAGACTTAGAAGCGCGGCTCGGTCGGAGCCCGCCGGCGGAGCTCGCCAGGGAAAGGAGATGAATTTACGCAAACTTTTCCTTCGGAGATTAGTTGTCCAAGTCGGGGCGGCGGCGGGTCGGTGACGCGCCGAGTCGGAGCCTTTGGAGCGGGGCGGGGGCTGTCGGGTCGGGGCTTTTGGAGCGGCGATGTAAAAAAGTTGACCAAGGCCGCTAAGCGCTAAGCCCGCCCGCCGCCCCGCCCAGAGCCGCGGGGGATGAGCTCGAGAGGCGTGAAAGACCGACCGTCCTCCAGAGTCATAAAATGTGTTTAACGTCAGCGAGGCGGCGAGAACGGGGCGGCCGGCCGGGGCGGCGGAAGATGGACTCGGCTCGCCAGATGAAGAATTATTCGAAGATTCAGCGTGTGTAATTGGTCCCCCTTGCGCTTGCGGAGTCTCCCGCCCATCTTGTTGCTCGGGGGTTTCCAATTCTGGACGAGACTCCTTTGATCCAGCTCGCCCCCGCCCCCGTTTCGTTTAATTAAAGGCCTTAGACCCA